GTTAAGTCAAGTAATATTCTTGCTTGATTTGACTGGCGACGACATATTTATTAAACAAATATTTAGAATCTAGTTAGGTTAAGCAACCATATTACAATATATTAGAATTTTGTATAAATATTAAATAAAAGATAATATATATATATTTAGTCTATTTCTTCATTTTGAATAATATCATTTTATTGTTGAAAAAAGACATTCTAATAATGCTATTGATACTGTAATTGAAAAAATATATTGTGCAATATGATATAACTTCTTGGAATATTTCTTTATAAACTTCCAGTAATCTAATATATTGATCTTGAATTGTTTAACAACTGAGTCAATATAATGATACTTTTTTATATGATAATCTTTAAGTTCAGCTAGTAAAACTTTTGGATCTTTATAAAACTATATACAATAATAATATAAAACCCATTTTGCTAAATGCAGAAATAATAAATTAGATGTAATATTAAATTTTAAATTATGATAACTAGGATGAAGTAAAAATACTAATAATAGTAATGATTGTTTCCAATCTTTACATCATCACTCAAGCTTTATAAGAAGTTTTGTAGCTAAATTACAATCATTTAATCCTTTAAGTATCATAATTATACTTCTAAATTCATAAAATACTTTATATAATTGTGCATTATATTGTTAAATTTTATTAAGTGCTGCACAATAAGAAATTAATAAAGTTTCAATTTCTTTAAGTTTTATCTACCAATTATTATTAATAATATATCTTAAATATTTTTTAGAAAAATTATAACTATCATCAATTATATATTCTTCAATTTTAGTTACAAGATTCTATAAATATTATATATAAATTTAGTATATATATATTATTTATTTAAATTATTATTTTATACATATCTGTAATGCACTCTTAGTTTTTAATAAGCTAGAAAACAATAGTAATATAAATTTCATTGAGTATTTGCAAAAGTTGTTAATGCAATATGTATTTTATATGCAGATAATTGTTCATTTTGAAGATGTCTAAGCCATACTTTTGATCGATAAAAAAATGTAATTAAATTAATTACTTCTTCAGCTGTCTTGTTTAAGTTTAATAATTTCTTAAATATATCACTTATGCACAAATTTAATTGATATGCATAACAGAATAAAAAAAGCTTTTCATAATACTGAAGACATAATTGTTTTCTAAAGAATTATAATAATTATATAATTATTAATTAATTATTATTTAATTATAAATTAATAATAAAATTATAGAAATAATAAATAAATAATATATTTTGCAGCAACATTTTCTGAAGCTAAATCTATAATTAATTCATTAACTTTAATATTTTTTTGTTTAAGATAATCAAATACTTTTTTTGTTTCATTAATTATAGAATCACTTTTACTTCTTTTTTCATTTAAATTTTGAATATTCTAAATAATCATATTGTTTATTAAAGTAAATAATACTAATTCTAATAAATTTTGTTATGCAACATTTTTCTAACCATCATAAGCAAGCATAACACCTAAGATCATTATTAATTGTATTATTTAAAATTGTTTTAGAAATTTTAACAATTGACTTTTTAAGAATACATCCACTTAGTTGTTTAGACTTAGCAAAGATAACATTGGATTAATCTATTTAAATAACTTTTTTATTATTAGATTTTCAATCCAACAAATGATCAACCACAAGAAACTGTTGCTTTTAATAACAAATTTTCAAATACTTCAATTTGATCAGGTTTTAGTTTATTGTATAAACAATTATTAAGTAATCTATAATTTTGATGAGTAATAAATATTTTGTTTGAAGATGTTGATCTTGATTCACTATTTTCATTCTCAAATTTAAAATTAAAAAAATTGTTTGAAGCTATTTATTAAATTGTTTAGATCCATATTCTATTGCTTTTTGAATAATTTCTTGAATTTGTTCTTCAGTATATCTTTCAGCAAAATATTCACAATTTAGAAGATGTTTTGCACATACATGCTTAGTATTTGTAAATTTTTTTTGAAATGCTACTAATTGGCCTAAAACTCAAATGCAATCTTGACAAACAGCATAATTATTGTACTTGTTTGCCTTTTCTTCTAAAATTATGAAATATTCAGTAAGTTTATATTTTTCTCTTGTCATTTTTAATTACAGAAGTTTTTATTAAATATTTAATAACGATGATTTTTTATATAAAAAATGTTTATTAATAATTTGAGTAAAACTATTTATCAAAATTAAATTTGATTGGCTAATTAAACGTCATTAGTTTGACTGAGCAATTAACGTAATTGAACTATATCCAATTGTCCAATTATCCAAATTGTTCAAATCATCCAATTATCTAATAAATCTAATCAAAACAATTGGAATAGACCCAATTCCAACACTGGTCATAATAGCTTTCAGTGATCGGACTGTTCCAGTGATCACTGGAATGGAAGTTCTAGTGAGTTCTAGTGACTTCTGATTGGCCAATGAGAGTGTAAAAATTGAACCTAACATAAAATTTTTAACTGCTGAAATAAAATTGTCCTCGCAGATTCTCTTACGACCAGGGTAAAATCGCCACCCAAAAAGTTTCGAACACCATGTGACAAATATATCGAGCACTAAAAATTCATATAACTTAACAAAAAAAAATTACAATCAAAAAAATCTAGACTAACAAAATAATAACGATAAGTAATAAATGAATCATTTTATTATTTCGAATAACTTAATAAACGTGATATTTATTACAGCCAGAAAGTATTATTACGGTTTTTCTAAATATTTGGAATATTCCATTGCCTTTTAAAATGAATATAATCCTTCAATTTATGCAATGGCACAAAGTTTTTATTAATACTATTGAACCATTATCATTTTTAGCTGTTGCATCCTGGATTCAGATAAATAATCAGTTATAATCTTCCGGAAGAACATTAAAAATCAAATCCACAAGGTTTTCTGATGCAATTGCATTTTCTTGATTCACTTTCCATTCAATAGCATTAAATAATTATAGCGATACTTATCAAGATACAGGTACCAAAAGGCAGGTAATATTTAATATGAGGAATAATCTCCAATTGGAGATGGTCAATGACCACATTTAGATCTACAGCAATTAGCCAATCAGGCAAATTCGTTCCAGTGAGAAAATTGTTCCAGTATTGCGATTGTAACATATGTTGCACACTGGATGAAAGAATATCGACGGCTACTTTATTAGGGCAATGCTATAGTACATCATACGTAATTGTACCTGCCAATAGTAAGTTGGACTAAACGTGCGTGAGTTATCTAGTTTAATAAACAATAACGTTCATTGTGCCCTTATTTCAGATTATTCTGTAAATAGAAAGTGGTTAATTATTATCCCGGAAAGGAGGTTGATAATCTTTAAAGTGGCTGACAATAGTGAATTTTAAAATTTTCTTCCTAACACTGGTAGGAATAATAAAAGATCCTAATATTATATAAGTCACCAATAGAACTCATTCTTTTAGACATTTCGCAGTAGGATCACACAAAAGGATGCAGTCAGTTTATAAATTGGTATCAACTGTCAATCAATTTTACAGAGAAATAAATCCCGCGACGCTTTCGGGAGCAATTGATGTTATCGTTGTTCAGCAGCCTAATGGTGATCTCGCATGCTCGCCGTTTCATGTTAGATTTGGAAAACTTTCAGTTTTGAGGCCACAAGAAAAAAAGGTATGTACCATTACTATTTATCGTTTTAATTATCGTCACAGCTGAAGCAGAAATTTGAAGTCTCAATTTGAAAATATAAATCCTACTAATAATCTTTTATTAACAACCATGCACCTAAATTCTAATCCAACTCGAAAAAGTTAAAAATTACATATTAAAATAGGTCCAAATTTCAGCCTCGGCTGTAACAATTATTTTTCAAATCATTAATTTTTGATCTTTTATTATTTTAGGTTGAAATGACAGTTAATGGCAAAGTCGTTGATTTTCCAATGAAGATAGGAGAGGCGGGTGAAGCATTTTTTGTTTTCAAGACTGATAAGATGGTTCCACAAGAACTTCAAACATCTCCGCTTGCAGGACCTACAGAACCTTCTTTAAATGATGAGGTAATTCTTTTACTCATGCACCTAATCATTTAGTTCATTATAATACACTCATGCAATTTTTGCTTATTCTGAAGCCTGATTTTCTTGATCTAAGCGCCTCAAGTGCACAAGATTCCCCAGTTTCGAAAGATAGCAGTAATTATTTATATATAATTAATTTTAGTCTCTATATTCACCAATAAACTATCATTTCTAACAATTTATCTAAAAATAGCTCCAATTTATGATTTTGGGCGTAATAATATTCTTGGCACTGGTATTAATTAATAATGGTATACTGCTTGTACATGTCTTATATACATTACTAATTTTATATTATCTTTACGGGTTTGCTCTTAATTTAGACTTTGGTGCGGAAGAAGGTGCGTCAGATCCGGAAAACACTGCTGATTTGGAATCAGCAATTTCAGATGCTGTAGTTCCTGTCGGTTTCACATCAGACGACGAGACAAACGCGAGAAAAGGAATCGTACAAATTGAAGGGGTTCACGAAGTCGAAAGAAAAATTGATGTAAATGGACAGACGAATTCCAATACTGTGGAAGTTAATTTACAACAGCAGGACTCAAAATCAGAATGTGATCACGGATCGAATATAGTATTAACTGGTAATGCGATTTCTATTAGCTTGAGATAATATTTACTATAATTTCCAGATGCCTAACAATATATATAAACAAAGAAAAGAGCGAAATTAATGAAAAGCTTGACTACATATCTTGTAAAATACAAAACGAAGGTGTTGAATATGATAATATCCAAACAAATGATATATCACATAATGACTCGTTCCCAGTAATCGAAGCTTTTTCTGACTTGCATCTTGGTAAGCTTCCGATCATTGATTTATTAACTAAAACAATAATAATAACAATGATTATTCAATGATTTATTATAGAATCTAAAATTGAAATAACCAAACAATCATCTATCGATGATTATAAAATACTTGAAGGCGAGAAATCAAATAATGAAAGGTCTTTATCGATGCCGTTGGTTCATTCAAATTGTTCGTATGTTTTCTCTTAATTTTTAAAAGAAATTAGCAAGCTGTAATTTGACTTGGTTTCTAAGTCTTTAAAGTGAGCCATTTTTTCGTTTCTTTCTATATTGGCTTAAATAAATTTATATGAATGTTTATTGTTTTGATACAGTAACTTACTTTTTTGCATATTTATTTCTGATAAAAGGATGTAAATTAATCTAAAAATTATTAAAAAAAAACAGGGGGAAAATCTGATGGTCCCTTTTCTGACACAGAGCTGGATGAAACACGAAAACCCGAAAAACCGTATTTATAGCATTTATTATGTTTAATATTTATATAATTCGAATTTCTTAGTGCTCATAGAACAATAATCATTAGGTCCGAGAGACGCATACACAGAGCTAGTCCCTTAAGTGATACAGAATTAGAGGTTTTAATTAGACTTCTTATTAATTTTACTGAGTCTTAAGTATAATTATATTTTGTCATTTATATTGTTAATAACATGTGCAATGTCGATCTTATTTTCAGTACGAACCTGTGAAGCATCCAAAAAATACTGCAGAATGGTCGTGGGGTTGGGGTACGCTACCCGTTAGAACATCTGATGAAATGGAACATTGGCAAGAAAGTCCTGATAACAAAGAATGGAAAGAACATGAAAAACAAATTGAGAATACATCTGGAGTTCAGATTGAGAGTACATCTGAAGTTCAGATTGAGAATACATCTGAAGTTCAGATTGAGAATACATCTGGAGTTCAGATTGAGAATGTATCTGGAGTTCAGATTGAGGATAAAACTTGTTTTGAAATGTCACTTTGTGGTAGTGATACTTTTGGAAGGGATCAGGTTTGTTTCGATGATGCGATCATTCAACATTGTTTTTCTATATTTACAGTAATTGTTGTCCTCCTTTGATTAATCAGAAAACGGATGCTGAGTTGTTTCACAAGCACTTAATTACTTTTGAGCAATTTACAGAAAACCCGCAACTTTTGAATGATAAAGCGCTGGTTTTTAAGTATGAAAATCGGTTAGTGCGCATACAGTTACTGTTCTGTTATTTTAACGATGTTGTCTTAAATACGTTATTGATATTAATGTGTATTTTATTCAGATACCATACGTGGGCCACAGCTGCACCACTGATTATATCTCTTGTCGTATTCAAAAAACCACTTCCTGATTCTACTATGACATTTCTAGCTAATAGTCGGTCTGAAGAGATAAGGTCGAATAAAAGAAAATATAGCTTACGAGGATTGAGTCGATGGTGGCGTTCTTCGAGCTCGCAATCTGTAGATCCTGTAGATCCTATAGAAGAGAGTAATGAAGAAAAAGCACATAATATTACAAAAAGTGTAATTTGCATATGGTTATTTTGATCTAAGTAGGGCATCATATAGAAATATGAGGGTCGTAGGAAAGGGACAAATCTTTTATAAAATTTCAAATTAAAATATCTACAAATATCAACCCGAATTTAAAAAATTTATCAAATTTGGTTCGATATTTGTTGAGAAAATTTAAGAATCAAAAATTTGCTAAAAAAGATTTATTTTCTTCTACTGGCCTCCTCATATATTTTGTGATAAATTATAATGTTTGCATCAGATGCGACGTTTTAAGCTTGGGTTCGTCATAGTCTTGTACTTCATCACAATACCCTACTTTACATAATCTTGCTTTGATTTAAGGTACAGTCTTAATTAATTATGATTTCTTAATATACCTGCAGGAGAATACTAGTAAACCTCAAGAAAAACAATTTTACGCCAAAACGCTACGTCTAACATCAGACCAGCTGGTATGTGAATGCAATTTTCTAATGTATGTGTTTAATATATGAAATGTGATTCAATATATATCCAAATTTGTGATAATGACAGAAAAGCCTTAACCTAAAAAAGGGTGCCAATACGATGACATTTTCTGTTGATACCTTTTATCAAGGCAAGGCTACATGCGTAGCGAAATTATTCTTTTGGGACAATGATACACATATTGTTGTTTCTGATATAGATGGAACTATTACAAAGTAAGTCACATGTTACAACTTCAAGTATATTACTCTAAAAAGACTCATTATTACTTTATCGAATTTAGGTCGGATGCTCTCGGTCACGTATTTACAATGATCGGTAAAGATTGGACGCATTATGGTGTTGCAAAATTGTATTCAGATATCCATAAAAATGGATATCAAATTTTATATTTAACGAGTAGGGCTATTGGCCAAGTACGTATAGGTAAAATGTTTTAGTTGTGATATGATTTAAAAACCTACTTAACATTTTGATCTTGTTTAGGCTGATTATACTAGAGATTATTTAGAAAAAGTAAAACAAGATAAATATCAATTACCAGACGGGCCAGTAATTATGTCACCTGATCGTTTATTAACAGCTTTTCACAGGTATCCATTCTAGAAGAGACATTTTTAATTTTTTTGTTATAAAATGCCTGATGTGTTAATTATTCTGTTATTATAGAGAAGTAATAATGCGTAAACCAGAGGCCTTTAAAATAGCGTGTTTACGTGATGTGAAAAAGCTATTTGGAGATAGAAATCCTTTCTTTGCTGGGTTCGGCAATAGAATAACTGTATGCGTTTTTCCTTTATACAAACATGCATCATAATGTTTTTGATATTAAAATAATTTTTATTATAGGATGCTTTATCTTATCGAAGTGTAAATATTCCATCCTCGAGAATATTCACGATAGATACAAACGGAGAAGTAAAGTTAGATTTATTGTCAGGATATAAATCATCGTAAGTTTTTTTGAATTATTGTAAATATATATAATTTTTTTTGCTGGCATGAACTTACTTTTATTATACAATTTCGTTATAGTTACGTTGATTTGAGTGATTTGGTTGACCAAATGTTCCCTTATATTGGTAGCAAATGGGATACAATTTACAATGACTGGAATTATTGGAAACAAAATTTGTTGAAAATTGAACTGCCTCCAGAAATATATGAAATGTCGACATTATCACCACAGAAAAGTTTACCTAGTTCTCCGAGGCTAGGTAGTAATGATCTACGACTGTCGAACAAACCAGCACACTTACATTCTGCTCCTGGAATGCTTGAAACTTCTGTCTCAACATCTTCCACAAAATTACCTGATAGTGATTTGTATGAAAGTAATTTGACAAATTCGCACAAACGAACATCTGTATATATTGGAGGGAATGTTGATATGCCGGGACGAATGGATCTAACAATAAATAATGAAATAATAGGGTATGATGATGAATCTGATTATGATGATGAAGGTGATGATGAAGGTGAATCTGATACTATGTCTATGGCTGAAGATCAATATGAAGAGGATGACAGTGATTTTGAAGGAGATATACCCGCAGATATTGATTTAAGGGACTATCCATACTGATACAGTGACCGAAAGTGGATCACCGGAAATTTCATATGTAACACTTAGAAACAACTTTATATACGATTTTTATTTTATTTATATTTTATATAACATAACTACATTAATAATATAAAATAAAATAAACATTCTAAAATTATATTCTAAAAAAAAACTGAGCATTTTCCTAGTATTTTGAGTGGCTTTATATATTGCCTTTATTCGATCCGGCATACTACAGATAAGCGAGCGAAGATATTCCATTGGTATCTTATTCCATTCTTCCTTTACGTTTTTAACTAATTCTTTTCGTTTCGTAGGTATTGGTTTTCTATTACGCACTGCTGAATCAATATGTTTTCAAAGGGTTTTGATTTGGTTTAAGTTGGGCCATATGATGCCCAATTTAACACATGAAAATTATAAGCATTCATCCACCACTTTATTTAGTTGAACTTATAAATAGGGGTCAAGTTTTGTTGAAATATTAATTTTGGTTTATTTGGATACTTCTTCATTAAAGATTTTGTTTAGAAAAAAATAATTTGCAAGAATGTTAATGTAGTTATCTAAATTTATATTACCTTTGATTTTTATTAATGATCAAACTTTTTATTAAAAGAAGCAACTTCAAAACTAGGGTGTGTGGCACAGTGGTCACAGGCATGCCACCATGGCATGCCTTAAAAGAAAATAGATATAAGACATGTTACTTATATATAATCAATAGCATATAGGCTGCTATTAAGAAAAATAAGGCCCTTAACTTTCAAAACTTATATTTCAATAAATTTTGAGGTTATTTTGATAATTTAATATTTAAAGAAAGCTTAAATCATATGTTTTTTTTTGAATAATAAATTATTAAAATAGGTTTAAAATTCATTGAGATATGAACTGCTGTTAATAGAAATTAGGCAGATTTATATTTGAAAAAAAATTAATGTTTTAACTTTTATAAAACATATATTGATGGATTTTAAAAATATCTTAATAGTTTAATATTTAAAAAAAAAGCTTACGATCTAAGCTTTCTTATAAATATTAAATCATTAAAATAACTTTAAAATTCATTGATATATGTTTTGTAAAAGTTAAGGCATTTTTTTTTCTTTCAAATATAGATCTGTTTGATTTTTATTGATAACAACCCATATAATCTATAAAAGTTAAGGTATTATTTTTTTTAAAAATGTCAATCTGTCTTATTTTTATTGACAACAGTTTATATATTTATTTAGAATATTTTAAAATAGTAGATTTTTTTTTTTTGTTAAAGATCATACTTGTAGTGATATATTATTAATTTTTATTAGGTTAGTTATTACAATTATTTTTACAAAAATGAGAGTATAACTAGTTATACATGCAATTTTTGATTGTCTATTTAAGTAGTTTATTCTAAGGTTCTACACTAGATGTTATATCTATAACTTACTAAAAAATTATTTATTTAAACTTTCTAATTATCTGTCTTGTTATGATATAATTTCAACTTACTTTTTGTATATATCTAATCAGTATACTGTTTGAACAATATGATACTTACTTTTTTTGTACTAGTTCTTAGACTGTTATACATTTTAGAATATATCACCTGCTAATAAGGTGCAAGAGGTTTTCTGTTGTTAATTATCTATTTACTTTTAAAATACTAATAAGAGGTATTTTTACAAAGTTCACTTAAATTTCAGTATTAACTTTATAGCATATTTTTAGTACTTTTAGTATATCTTTATTTTGATTTCAGATTTTTAATCCAAATAACTTAGAAGGATTATAACCTATTCTTGGTATATTGAGACTGGTCTAATATCTTTTATTTTTAGTTTAAAATTTGGTGGTCTAATTGATAATACCTCTTATCCAAGGTTTTTGTCTACCTGATTTTTTTATATTAGTATCTATTTTCTAGGTCTAGCCTTTATAGTAGTTCTATTGAAGATTTGTATTACCTCTCTGGTTAGAATTTTTAAATGAGTTTCAGTTTTTCAGTTTTACAGATTTATACAACTTAAGAACTTATTTTAGATTTGTACCATTTAGTATGGTTTGCATTTTTCTGTGTAATTAAGATTATACAAATATCTCAAATCTGTTAGTCATATTAGTGTGATTATAGTTACAGGTATCCTATCCCAACTGATCAACAAAATACTGTCACTGTTATACTGTCTATATATTATATAGGTAATTATTTATATTTTGTCATCAGTAGGTTTTGAACTCATAACTTACTATTTAAGAATATGACAACTTATTCATTTTACTAAGTCATTACACTCTATATTTTAAAATAATAGATAGTTAATAAATATAAAATATTTACAATTAATACTATTAAAAAATCATAAATCATTATAAGTTTTGAATCAGTTAATATAATAGTATATCATTAACATGCAAGAGTAGTATCTTGGCATGAATTTTGTCAGATAAAATATTAAATTTTTTTGTCATGCTATACATCTTATTTAAAACATTATGAAATTATTACTAAATTTTACAGTTATATTTTTTTTTTTTTTTTTTTTGAATTTCCACTGCTTGGTCACTAGTGGGCCGCAGATGGCAGCTGTTTTATTAGTTCTTATTTCAAATTCACAGGACCTTCTATCAGGACCCCATCTATATTTTTACATTATTTGTATACATTTATGGTACTATCTATATACTAATTTCCGTGTTACTATTACCCTAGAATTTCACTGGGATTATTCCTAATCAGGAATTCCTTTGTTCTATTATTATCTTCAGCCCTCTAATCATCGCGGCCTTCTTATGTAGGTCTGTCACTATTTAAGGATCTGGATACTGAAGATCTTCCTATTTTCGTAGTTCACAGTTAGCTGTGGTTAATTAACAATTATGGTCCTAACTCAGTTTTCGTCCCCTGTTGGACTTGAACCGGCAACCTTGCGATTGGTGACCTGGGAGCGTAACCACTTTGCTATCGACCCACAGGTCACAGTTATATTTATATAACCTTTATAATATTTTTTCTAATTTTTTTTATCATTATCTGATTTATTCTAATTTGTTATTAAAAACAATTATTTACTATTTATTTTAAATGTTTGCAACTTTATTTTTTTTTTATTTAAATAAGTTTTTTTGCAGATGACAGTTTTTTAGCTTTAAGATATAAAAATATTTGAGTAATTTTATTGATAAGTATTGTTTTAAGTTGAATATTAAGTTTATTAGTAATAATAATTAAAAATGGTTTATAATTTTGTTTTGCAAAATATGAGATTAAAATTAAATATTTAATTTATTAAATATTTAAATTAATTTATATAAATATGAATTTAAATAAGTTTAAAAAAATTTTAAATTTTGAATTTATATATATTTGTATATATTTCTTATATAATTATATATAATTATATATTATAATATACAATTATATACAATTATATATTATTATATAAAAAGTATATATATATATATTTTGGTATTAAGGTAAAGCCTTGCTTATATCTTTATCAATAATTTAAAATAGTTACATGTATATATGCTATAACTGAAGCCAACACTTGCAGTTAGGGCTAACTGTTAAACTGCTAACTATATAGCTACTACTATTTGTACAAAACAAATAAATTGAAAATTACATACAAGAATAAAAGCTCAGACTAGTTTGTAATATTTTATAAGTTTAGACTTTTGGTCTTTTAATTTATACAATATATTGTAAACTTATCATAAGAGTATTTGTTATAACTGAGTAAATAATCAAAAAAGAAAAAAAAATTGAAATTTAGAATGTTACTAGATTTTAACATTAAGTTTTAATATTAAGCTAAACATATTTATTTTTTTAAAAAATAGAAGTTCTTTATAAAAAGTAAAATTAAGTTATTATATGAATTTAAAATATTAAAATTCATAATTTTGATTGGCTTATTATTATAAAATATTATTATAATAAATTCTGATAATTTATATTGATTTATATCAAAAATATTTATTTAATCTAACTGGTTTTTTACATTGTTTTATCTATTATATAAAATCTTATTAAGATATTAATACTTCTTTTTTAAATAAAGAATGTTTTTAAGTTAATTTTAGATTAGTTAAACTAAAAAAACAAATTTTTATAAAATTGTTATTATTGTTCCTTTTTGCAGTACCTAGTTCATTTAATCATGTGTATTTTTGTTCTGTTGAAGGCATTTTTTTATATATATTATAAAAGTCTTGTTGTTTTATTTAGTTAAATATTGACAATTTTTTAAAGCTTGTAACTTGTAAATTTTGTTTATCTAATACATTGTTTACTGTATAATTGAAGTTATTTATAATAATTACTTATGTTTGGCATTTCTTTCTTATGACTATCTCTACTATTTTTTGCTGAATACTTTTTTCTATTTCTTTGTTATTTGGTAATATATAAACTTCTATTATTATTAACTCTATTTGCTTAAAATATAATGTAGTCTCTATTATATATTTATTTATCTTTTTGACTGCATTTACATGTTTTTTTAATGTTTTTCTACTAAATTTCTTATATTTAATCTTTTTTTTGTCTTCTACTACATTAATCCAATATTTAGTATATCTTCTGGTCATTTTATATATTAAGAATTTTCTTTTTTTTCTATAAAATTTATTTTTGTAATTTTTAATATTATAATTTTCTTTTTTTTGTCTAACTAAGCATATTGTCAAATTTATAATTTTTAGTTTTTAATCAATTAATCTTATAATATACTTTATTTATTTATTTATTTTTTTTAATTAATTTGTTCTGTTTTTATATTTTTATTTTTTCTTTTACTTTTTGTTTTTTTTCTTTTTAATAAGAAAATACTGTTTTTTTTCAAATACTTTTTTTTCTTTTTATAAAAAATTCTTAAGTTTATTACCTATTCTTATTAGTTTAACTAAGATGTCTTTAGAAGCAATTAGTTTGAACATTCTATGCTTATTCTCAGATTATCTCTAATCTTTTTAATTTTTACAGTATTTGATTTAATATGTTTTTTATATCTAGTACCTACTTTTACAGTTTATTTATACTTTTAGTTTCTTTTTTTGGTCTTTTTTGTTTCTGGTTTGTAGTAGTTAGGTTTTTTTATTTTTTATTTTATCTAATAGCTTTTGCTTTTTTATTTATCTTTTCTATCTTTTAACTTTATATTGTATTTATTTATATTTATAAACTTCTCTATACTTATATACTTTTAATTTAAATTAATGTTTTTTATTGCTTCTTTTTTTTATTTCTTTTGTATTTTGTAACTATTTTTATAAAATTCTGTCTTTATTTTTTTATTTTAATTTTTCAGAATATTGATATTTTATTATACTTAACTTTTTTCTTAATAATAATGTTTATATTTGCTTAGCTTTTGAATAATACTATTAAGTAGCTTCTTGATTTTTCTTATCTATTAGGTAAAATATATATTGTCATCATCTTTTTGACTTTGAGTTCTTATATTAGAATTAGTTTAGAAAATTCTTTTAATATTTTTTCAATTTTATAGTAAATTAGTTTTTTTTTTTTTACCTATTATCATTTTTGCTAACTTTTTATTTTTTAAAAAGATTACTTATAGAAATGCTTGTTTATCATCTTTTTTTACTTTTATTATTGCTATTGTTTTGTATACACTCTTTTTAATTTTATATACTATTATTTTGCTTATTTTTCTTACTAAATATGTGATCTTATACTTTAAAATGTTTTTTAATAAATCATATACAGTTAATATTATATATTTTCTTTATTTTCTTTATCTGTATTTGTTTTTTCTTAGTTACAGATCTTGTTTTCTGTCTTTTTAGTTTTTTTTCTACTTTTCTTTTTTTTTATTAATTTATCTTTTTGCTTTAATTTTTTTTTCTTCTTAACCTTAACTTTTTCTGATTCTTTTATATTTAAAACTATTTAAAACCAATTGTTATGTTTTTTTTAAATTTTGCTAATTGCTTCTTTTTTGTTATATTTACAATTAAATATAACAATAATCCAAATGTTATCTTTTTTAAACAGTTCTTTAATATTTTTAACATGTTTATTGAATACTAGTAGCTTTTAACAAATTTTATTCTTTTTTCTTGTGAGCTATTTAATGCATTATATGCTGATATTTTTAGTATATATTTTTTTTTACTATTCAAGTTTTTATTTAAAGATGATTATATACTTTGTTCTAATAATGTTTTTATAAAATTATTTTTATTTTCTTATTGTTTTGTATTATAGATTTCTTTTTTTTTTCTTATATTTTTTTTCTTAGTTTTTAATTATTATAATTATGTTTTTATAGTCTTGCTATATTATATTTGTCTTTAATGCTTTAATTTTTTCTTCTATATAATTGTCTATTATTATTATTTTAATTACTATACTCATTGCTTTTGTAATTATAACTTTTTTATTTTTTTTTTTGTCTTTTTTTTTTTTAAACTTATATTTTGTTATAGTTCTTTCTTGTTTATTACTATATTTATTATTTTAATTATTTATTTTATTTTTTTATATATATCTTTAATATGATGATTTCTTCTTTTGATATTAATTTTTTTTTATTTCTTATATTTTATACTGCTAATAAGTATTAACTTATACAGTTTATTACTTTTATTTATATTTCTACATTTGTCAAATCTTTTATATTTATGTTAATTATTATTTTATTTATTTTTCTTAGTATTATTATTTTTATTAAATTTATTTTTCATAATACTGCTATCACTATGTCTCTAATATTAAAATAGTTGTTTCTATTTACTAGTTCTTAATCTAATTTATTGTTACTTATAAGCTTTAGTTCTGCTTCTGTCTTTTAACTTACTAATTTTAGTATCATTAATTCTTTTAACTTTATTTGTATTATTATTTAGTTATATTCTATACTATTTTTCTTAGTTTGTTTATAGTTATATATTTATTCTGTCTATATTTATATATGTTTGTTTGTTTGTTTCTTTATATGCTTACATGTTTTAAATAAATTTATGATTTTAGATCTATTTTATTTTCTTAAAATTTCATTTTTCAAAACTTATTTAACAGATTTGTTTTTTTTTTACTTGCTGTTTGCCTTATTTTCTTCTACTAATACAACTGTTGTTTATTTCAAAAACTTTTTTTGTTTCATTAAACTTTCAAATATAATATAAAGTTTATAATTGATTATATAAGATTAAAACTTAAAACTTCTATAAAAATAATAACAGTAAATCTAATTTTAAAATACAGATTGATTAAATAGACTAATAATAATAGATTTAACTTAAGATATAAGTTTATTATAAATCTTAAACTATTATTAGAAAACCTTAAATAAAACAATAATAAACATATCAAAGATAAAAAATTATAAGGATTAGACATATCTGAGCAAAACTAATTTAAAAATAATATAATAACAAAAAAATGAGAAATGTAATAAATAAAATATTAGTAAATATAATTAAATTAAGTTAGAAGAAATAAGACTAGATAAAATATGTAAATAAAACACATAAATTTGATTACAAAAGACAGTATTTTTAATACTAAAATATATATTAAGTTAAAAGGTATTATTGTTTATATAATGATTTGATAGTATACTCTAACTGCAAATAATTATTACAGTAAAGGTATATTAACATGTAATGAACATAAGCTTAAATGCCATATAGGTAATTAGATAAAATTAGTAAAGTAAAATTAGGATAACTAATATAATACTAGTATAATTAATTTTGTAAAATGTATGTAACTATCATTGTACTATAAAAATTTAGAACCTAATAAACCATTTGGCAGTGTCACCAAAGCTAAATATATATATATATATATATATATATAGAATTTAAAACTTGTAACAATGAATAAAAATTTTAAATATAAAGTTAGGTCTGTATATTAGTCCATTTGATCTACGATTACACTATACGTATAAAGGACATGTCTGTGCCTGACAATTTGTAAAACCGAGTTATTGTCATGATAATAAGATAATAAAATTTTGAGATTTTGAGCTTAAGATTTTTGCCACATGTTTTTTCTATTGCAGTTAGACCTCTATAATTGCACTCTCTATGAATGCATCCACTATGTAAATTCTCCCTAAATGCACGCCCTACCATGGTCCAAAGTATACAGAAACATAGTAAAAATTCTCTATAAATGCACACCCTCCCTAAATGAACATTTTTTAAAAAATTTCCTATGGACTCGAGGGGGGTGCAATTATAGAGGTCTGACTGTATAAGATATTAAGGTTGCAATCATATCGATACAATAACATACTTAATACGTACGTATAATACACGGTATCAGGTATGATACGTATTATATAATACCACAATAAATCCTGCAATAGAATCTAGAATACGTATTTATATTTGATAAACCAGTTTTAATAATATATCGATATGGGGGTGAATCAATAGAGATCAAGCAAATTGGTTTTATTTAATTTTTTTTTAAACTTTAAATGCTAATAACTTAACAAAAACTCGATCAAATTTAATAAATTTTTTTTAAAATAAATTCTATAAGTTCGTGGAATTTATTTAATTTTTTTATTATTAAATTTCATTAAGTTGTTGTTAAGTTATTTTTATTCAAAGTTTTAAAAAAATTTACTTAGAAAAAATTGGCTTGATTTCTATTGACTCAGTGCAAATGAATTTGGGTATACATGAATGTTATCGTTGTTTTATGTTTTTGTGCATTTTGCACAGCTAATTGCTAATTTTGTGCAATACATGTGAATTTCTATGTATTATGCCTACTGTTATCGTTATCGTTATGTAAACTTACATTTTAATCACAGATATCCGGGTATCCAATTTCTTTGTTACAATTTAATAATACGTAGCAAAAATTGGCTGAATCCATGTAGAGATAATGTTAATAAATTCGAATAATGTATAGGAGCCTAATTTCACTTTTTCAAGTGTATTTAACGGATCGAATTTGATACTAATTTAAAACTTAACATTCACAATATACATCCACAACGTATTTACATAAATTATCTTCAAACAAGATTAACGGTTTGAAAACATTTAACATGAAAAATAGTCATTCTTCGTGTTGCAAGTTTTTGACCAATAAAATAAAGCTATATAATTATTTGATCTGCTTGTATTCATGCAAACAAAGGCCGCATTGTGATCAACTGCTCGGGCTCCAGCTATTGATGAAACAAAGGTCTACTGAAATGGAACGGGCCACCTTTGTAAGTATTATTCTTAATTTATCGAACAAACAATTAAGTTGCTGATTTTAAAATAAATATATTTACGCATTTATCGTTATACATTTCCACTATCGTTACAAATTTTAGAAAACAAGGAATGAATTCTTTATAAATACATGGTTTCCATCAGTCGAGGAAAGATGTTGACACGCAGTGCGTTTCCGTTCAACCACATAATTTTTTATCAAAAAAGAATTCTATAGATTATATACACATATACTCAGCCGGACTGCAAAGATGTTTGAAAAAAGATTGTCTGAAATCCCCGGACCAAAACAGCAAAATCGTCGACTTTCTGTCACTTCTAATGCTGATACTGTAAAACCTGAAAGTTATTCTTTCTTTCATACTTATGTGGCCTCACCAATTCAAGCATTCTTTCATTCTTATATAGTTCGGCCGTCAAAAGAAACCCCTTTAATATTTTATTCTGTCATATTAATCATTTTGTCAATCCTACTTCTTTTTGTTCTTTTGGTCGGTAGTTCTAAAAGTATTTTTTTATCCAAATTCATTTTTGACTCGGAGATATCGTTTATTACAAAAAAAAAAGAGATTACATTCACTTTATATGGGCATTGTGTGGATGATGAATGTACTACTCCTTCACTAATTAATAATTTTGACAAAGGTATGCATTAAGGATTATTAGTCTGCCTTTTTTTAGCATTTATCATTTATTAATTTCAAGTCAATTTCTTTTTTTAGTACCCTCCTCTTCAGAAATCAAGGATAAATCTTCAAAAAATCAAAAACGTCTCGATATCCCAAATATCCCAACTCCTTCAATCCCAGCTCCTTCAGTTCCCGATGTTTCTTCTAGTGCAGGACCGGCTGTTTCGGCCGTTAGTGGTGCTGTCAACGATGCTGCGAATACTGCTGTGAATACTGCTGAGGATATTGCTGCAAAAGCCCAGGAATTATTATCTAAACTATTAAGCTCTTTCGATAACTTTAAACCAAAAAGTCCTACTGCTAACATTTCGGGATTCTTCTCAATTCCTTATCTGTTAGCTTTTATAATTAGTATAATTTCATTACCTTTCCTATACTTTCGTCTTACAATTATTGCTGCTTTTCTCATAATAACTTCTTCATTACTTAATGCTATCGCTTGTATTTTTGATCTCTTACTTTTTGTTTGGGTCTTTGACCTTATTTCTATTATTCCTGGTATTGGAAGTCAACATACCGGCCCCGCCATTTATTTGGCTATTATGAGTGCCGCTTTACTGAGTGTTGCTGGTATATTCTTATGTATTGGTTCATGTTGTAATGCTGTCAGGAGCACCGGTAAATGCATAAGAAATTTAAAAAGTTCAAAAGTTAATGATGCTGAACAAGGGAAACCTGGGAAACCAGGAACACCTTATAATTATTTTTAAAATTTCTTTTATATGTAATATAATCTATAGACAACACTTTACAGTATTACTTAATAATAAATTCTTGGTTCGGGGTTTGATTTAATTTTTTTTTTTTAACGTTAATGCTAATATTTACATGTGTAAAAAAGAATACTTTTATATACTGTAAAATATCTTTTAATAATTCTGCCCTATCCATTCGACAAAATTTAACAATATTTATTCATCAAACATTGACTGAAAAAATCTTAAAGGATTTCAACTCATCATTAACAAGACTGTTTTTAAATTAGATACACTACTATCGTTCTCTTTTAAATAAATTATATTCAAGTAATTTAATATTATCAAATAATGGCAGGATCAATTATTATAAAAATTAAAATTCTTTGTAACACAATATTGAATAGGACAATTTTAAGATATATTAACAGTATACGACATTAACCTGTTTAAAATAGTTTATTATTATTTCCAATTTATATTTGTATAAAATTATTTATTAACTAAATTTTTTTTTTCTTTAAGTGGTCCTGTCTTTATTTTACTTATACAATCACAAAATGATACGTATACGATTTGACAGAAGAGTACAGTAATTCACCTATATATTGTATAGCTTTGATCAACTGTTCTAGTGTTACCAACTTAAAAGATTTCGCTAAAAATTTTTTGCTGCTATATTATAATTAGATGCTGCTATTAATTTAGATTAGAAAGAGTTTTTCTGATACTAAAATTTCGCAAGGAAACCTTTTTATTAATATACAAAAGATGGTTTCATAGGTAGTTAATTTTTTTGGTAACAGAAATCATAGGCAGAAGTTTGACTGATTTGCTAAACTACATAGAAGGTTTCATTAGAGCTATAGGACTCCATAGCCAAAAATAAGATCTAATTTTCGTCCGTTTAAAAGAAAAGTTAGTATAGTAATAACTTCTCAAAAACCCGATAAAATCATTATTAAGCTAATTTTTTTAAACGGACGAGAATTAGATCTTATTTTTGACTATGGAGTCTTACAGCTCTAATGAAACCTCCTATATGAGTGCTGTAGAGTGAAAACCTAGAAGTGAATCTTTAAGTTTATCACTGTAGCGGACTTAGTCTTATAATATATAATAAAGACAAAGTCCGCTACAGTGATAAACTTAAAGATTCACTTCCAAGTTTTCACTCTACAGCATTCATATAGTTTTTTTTACTTTATTATGGTTGGTTTTCGTTTTTTTTTTAAAAAAGTACTCTAAACCAGTGTTGTCACGTCTACTATGTTCAAGACTTTTTTAGACTATGTCCAATGTCCAAACATCCACATGTCCAAGAATGTCCACAGCATATACAAGCTTTAAAAATTAATAAAAATATATGATTATATAGTTTTTATAGTGCTGAATATTTTTATTTATAAAATTAAAATAGATCAACTTAATAAAATTTTAATTGTCCAAAAATGTATGTCCACAACTGTCCCGTGCCAACACTGCTCCAAACTATATAAAATTAAAATTGAATTTATTAGCCAATCAGACGAACTTCTGCGGAAGGATTTTTTATTTTATATTACACTTTTGATTTTTTTTTAAACTTCCGAACCAGATGAGCCGGATGCAAAATCGTCATCGGCTAAAAACAGTTTGAACAATCTTGACGGCAAGAATTATGGATGACTAGTTTTTTTAAATTTCGAGGGTTCGATTCAATATTATTAAAAAAATAAAAAACGAGATCCGGACAAGCATGAAAAAAAGGGATCGTTTAAAGCCAGGTGTACTTGGTATAAATTTTGAAATGATCTACATAATTACTTTCTTGATATCTATATAAACTATTAACCCTAATTGCATCAAAAACGTAACTCTAACACACCTTGCTTTAATCATCCCCTAAATTAGATCGCATCCGTCGCATCCGTCGCATGCGACCGATCAGTCGCATCTGACGATATGACGGATAGCAGCGATCGGTCAGAAAGGTCTTTTAGGTGATATCAGTAGGATACGATGCATCGGTCGCATCAGAGATATCAGTCGTATAATGTAAATAGGATTCTACAATTATAAATAAAGGCCAAAAGACCCTTCAAGAAGAACAACTTTCCCCTTTGCACCTAATACATAATACATAAATTTTATAATCGCTCATAATAAATCACTTGACAAATAATGAAACGGACATCTTTATTAAAAGTAATCGCTACGACATAATCTGTCCTTAACTTGTAATTACATAAAGTACGCTAGTACATTTGACCACTCGCCAAATCTAACACACCTCTTTCGACCTGACATAAATCCTCCTAAGTGGTTACACGAGAAATCCGAGCGTGGAGCGACTGACTCGCCGTTTTACGTTTACAACGATATGTTGGTTACGATGAGGAAAGCTCAAATCAATACACACCACCAATAGCTCAGATCGTAAGCATCAAGTTGTTGGATTTTATTTACAATGTAATGAGCGACAGAGAGTACAATGAAATATATTGGAGTGTATAAAAGAAAAACTATCGAAGGTACTACTAAAAGTTTGGTTCAAGCTAGAAACCATTACACAAAATGTAGTCATAACTTTTAATTACGTAAAAAATATGTAATAAAGTACTAAGAAAATCATTTCGTAATTATGTAATAATTTACCATATTCGTAATAATTACGAAGGTATTTCGAAAGAAAAAGTGTATTTTTAATTTATTACATTTTTCGTAACAACGTACGCACATATTAGAATTACTTGGGTACTATCGAACGTGTCGAACACACGGTGTATTACATATTAGAAAGCAAAGAAAATAATAATGAAGGCTTATACAAAAGAAACTTTTTAGCAAAATTTTCGTAATCGATAGTCGTATGGTTGCCCCCGAAAGTTTGTAACTTTTTTCTAAATCCAAACTCGCGGGATTGAACATTTACATAAACTAGTAAGGAAAAAAAAAGTGTTTATTTTCATAATACAATGATAATGTTAAATTTTATGTTTCTGTGTAATAGTAACAGATTTTTAGAGATCACATATTAAACCGTTTTGATTCGAGTTGGAAATTTTTGACCCGGTTGAACCGTTTTGAAACGGGTGACCCGGTTTACTATAACCCGGCTCTAAACTCTAGTTGAGCCCTGATAGGTCGGATCTAAACAAATGATAAATTTAAATTTTGTCTCATCGAATACATAAATAATATTTATCATTATTTAAATACTTACCTTGACTTGGATACAGAAAACCATCGGGTGTCTCACCAGGTGGTACGGGAATTTCCATAGATTCAAGTGATGGAAGTACGAGACCTTGCGGCGCTGTTACCGCTTGTACCTCCGTCTTGGGTCCTGTAGGTCTCGGCCTTCCCCATGCTACCTTCAATGCGTGTCCCTTAATATTTAAGTTATTATGAGATTTATCTATCGCTTGCTCGGCTGATGATCTAGTTGCATAATTCACAAAAGCGCACTTCGATTTATGGACGACAACGACTGATTTAATTTCTCCAAACGCGTAAAAGTGGCCTCTATATTTGATAATTTTACAAAATAAAATGAGTGTTTGTTTTATTGTAGATTCGCATGTTACGGTCTGCACGATACCTGAGATCTGTTTCTGTGATATCTTCTTCGACGCCGGTAATAAACAGTGAGGTCTAAAAATCAAAAATATTTAAGCAATTTTTAATCAAAAGTATTTAAGCAATTTTTAATCAAAAGTATTTAAGCGACTGTTAATCAAAAATTATTTAATCAAAAAATGACAATGTTCACAGATATAATACTTACGATAGACTTGTCTTCTGGTGGCGTGATGTTAGAATTTCCACCTCCTTTTACTCGGTTTAATATTTTTTTGGCTACCGGATCATTAGTACCATAATATCGATCCTTGATGTTCTGATGAGACAATTCATTTTCTTCCGGTATCTCATGTCTTTAAATGAAAAGAAATTCGTTTATATACTTGGTCTTTTAAAGCAATCTGCATTGAATATGAGGGTATATGATTTCCCGACATCATTTTCCCGACATATAACACCTACCAGGATAACTTTAAATTAGGTCAACTTAGCTCCAAATCAAGTCAACCTTAACTGTCGAGAAAATAATCATCGGAGAAAGGAATGCCACCAATTTATTATATTAAGTGTTACCTGTATGGACATTCATCACCACGCGTGCATGTCCCTTTAACAAAAAAAGAACATATATGTGGCCGATTGCGCTTATAATAAGGTTCTGTTCTGGCCAGCTTTTTTAACATTTCACGACCAGCTGAATCTGTTTTTCCGTAATTTATAAGACTATCACCGGCGGCAATCTATACCAATAAAATGAGTCAGATTCTGGTAATTAATGACAAAATAAATGACGATGCCTACCTTTCCTTCAATATTTTGTGCAAAATATTCCCTATTTATTTCTGATCTTGGTGCTTCATTAGTAATATTTAAGGCAGTGTCACGGACTTGAACAGGGAGATTGTACTGTAAATCTAATAGGCATGTTTGACAAACATTCTTTAATTTCGCGCAAGTCTGACAAATTTCTGTTTTTTTATAACGCATGCCAGCTCCGGGTAGCCATCTAAAGATCGTAAACGGTCGCGAACAAACCTATAAAAAATACAACTTTAGCGCTTGGTAAATTAGATTGTGATCCTATGATATCCATCTTACTTTGCATTCCTTCCCAAAGCCTTGCCTTGTCTAAAAGTTAAAAAATAATCAAAATATTGCTTTTGGAGGTACTTTATAAAAAAAGGTCAAAGAAAATTCGCCAACCATTCTAACATAAGGATTATCACCCAGGCATGTTTCACAAAGGATCGGAAATTCCTTCACGTTGAAAAATTAAATTAGAAAAAAACATTTAGATTTTAAGAGACGAGCAAGCTTTAAGATTTTACCGCTTCTTCCCAGCCTTGTTTATTTGGATCTGCCTTGGTTGCCATTTTTTTATTCTAAACTTTTGCAGCATAAATTTGGTCGATTATAAATGTTATGCACAGCTCATAGGAAGACGTTCATCTGATTGGCTAAGTTTTTTATAGATATATCCGTGATTTCCCGTGATAATTAGCCAATTAGAATGCATTATTTAATCGAACGAATTCATAATACAGATAAAACTTTATACTACTAGCGAAACTTATATCCTATTCTTTATAATTATCCTTTATTAATTATATTAAATTATTTGTAATCAGGTAGAAATCATATTTTAATCATTACTGCTACTATCTTTAAAATATAGGGGAAATTAAAATAATTACATATTAGTGCCCAAAATGATTAGGGGTCTGCGAATTACCTATTTTTATGGCCCGCCAAACGGGCCGGGCCGGGCCAATGCAGGCTTCCAAAATTTGAAAAATATTATTGAAAGTTTTTAATATTAAATGTAATTACTATGGAACTTGCCGCATTATTTGTCATAAACACTGTAAACTGTATCGCAACTTTAAATGATTAATTTCGCATTTAATCTTCTTTTTTCTCTTAGCATCTTGTATGTAAAAAATTATATCAATTTTTTGGAAATAATTTAACTTTTTCTACAAATTTTTGTGGTTCTAAATATCTTCAAACAAATGTGATTCATGTTTCATAACTAGTCTTGGCACAGGATGGACCTATTGGTTTAGAACTGATAAATATTGTGCTTAATTAATCGAACTGTATTTTAGCTAAAAGAAAAGGTTATGAAGCGAAAGAGAGTATAGTATAAAATGATAACGTTCAAAAAACCACGAACATCATACTGTAAAATTATTTTCAAAATTTGAGCCCTTATATATAAATATTTTCACTTTGGATCCTTATATGTATTTTTCGGGCCCCTATACGTATGTAATTTCCCCTAAAATATATTATCAATTAGGCAATATCCTACTTAATGCTAACAGTTGTTACTCACATTTGTATTCGTCAAAGAAAAACTTTCAAGAAATTCCATTATTTATTTATTTATATAAATTCTTAAATAATCTTATTTTTCAGTTATTACAGTCGTTGTATCGCTATTTTTCATTTATATTATTAATTAATACTACACATTTCTATCTATACTATTGTTAAGGCCATATTAAATTTACTAAATACTAATGTAATATAAATAAGTATTAAAAGAAGTGGTTTAAATTTAAATACAATAAGTTAACAGAGTGTAAGAGTTTTTTTCAAATCTAAATTTACCTTAATTCTAAGTAAAGTTCATGAGAATGTTTATTTTTTGATTATTTTGCACAATAAATATAAGCATTCTTTCGAAGCTAGAAAATGGTCTTTATTGTGATTTTTTATTAGTGAAACGTTACATTCTCAAAAAATACTTTAAACTGTATAAATAAGTTACTCGGGCAATTGATTTACATCAACCAATCATACGAATGTCAGCCTATGAAGCTGCCGATTGGCTAAGAACAACGATCCAAAAATTTTACTAATGAAATCACAGCTGCCCATTAAGTGAAAATTGATCCTGGGCTAATTTTATCATCGTGCGGGCCTATTTCAACAACAGGAGGAACCGTCGATGTTACACGACTGATCCTAGAACATTCCGCTAGTAACCATTTTATTATAATCATAACATTTATGTACCAGCGGAATGTTCTGGTATTATAAAATAATTTTTTTTATATGTTGCACACCGGGTGAAGGATCAGTCGTGTAACATCGACAGTTCTTCCTATTGCCTACCTGTTGCCTACGTGTTTCTTTGAAAATTTCTATTTTTGGAATAAAAAAGTTAAAAAAGTTAATTCCGGCCAGAAATTAGTAAACAATTATGTAATGCAGGCTGTTAGCCAATCAAAATCGGGACAATTTTGTTGCGGCCCACCAGTTACTCTGTCTTCAAATCAAATTATAGGATCAGGTACAACATAAAGCTTCAAAAAAATTTTTATTTGTTTACAAAACCACCTTTCGTGTTTTAACAATAAAGATTCCTTACAAAATTTTAGTATAGCATACATCCTATTAGACCTTCATACTGTTATTTTACTAAGCCAATTTCGTCCAATCAAAAGCAGGGTTTCTCTTTGTCCAGTATGGGGTGCACGAGGGCGTGATGCTAAATCATCACATGGGATCACTAATTATTCTTATGTGATGCTTTGGGGTCTTATGCCGTGCCCCACGTAATGATTTTCCGTCTGCCTAAAGCCGAAATTTTTTTGAGTTGTAGAAATGTTTCGACATTTGATATTTAGTCTGCCGAAATTCCAAAATAGTGCTGAAATTCTAAATTAAGCCGAAATGTCTAAACAATGTCGAAATGTCTAAATTAAAAAAAAAAATTTATTAGCAAGTATTCGAACTTGTTTTTATTGTGCTATATCGATATACAAAATAGATTTGATCAAAAACGGTTGCTGGCAGGTTTAATTATATATACTTTCTAAAAGACATCAGCTTAAGAATTTTTTTACATTTTTATGAATGCTTTTTTCTATGCTAAATGTTTATAAATTGAATCACAAGTTATTTTTATCACTAATTTAAACATTTCATCATATAATATTTATTATCATATAATACTTATTATCATATCATATTCATTATCATATATATAATATTTATTATCATATAATATTTATTTAGTCAACTATTTAGCCATTTCAGCATTTAGTCAAATTTAGGATTTTGACATTTCGACAAAAAGTAATGCCATGTCGAAATATATTTCGACATAAAATTGTCTAAATGTTTGACTAACAACATTAACTCTACCCCAACTTATAGATAGCATATAAATAAGTGCAAATTCTCTATTTGATACACCTAAAATTTATTTTTCAAGAATTTACTGTGATTTGAACCGATAACCTAAATAATACCTTGAAAAACTAAATTCGATTCAAAAAATTGAATTAAGGTTCTTTTAAAACTACAGGCAATGTAATGTAAAAAGTAAAATTTTGTACGTAATAAATTAATTAATTATATGAAATTGGATAAACTGATGTTGATCCTCGAATTAGTACACTTGTTTATAAATTAATGGACATACTATAAATTAACGGACATACAATATTTGCTAATCAATGTGTGTATGTCCAATCACGTGATATTTACAATAATCTAAAGCCGCACGAAACACTAGGTGATGTAATTGTCACGTACGACGTACGTACGCACGCATCGGACCGCGAAGAACCAATTTTCTACAGAATGATCCCGAAACATATGTAAAGTGCGTTTTGAAATGTCGCTCATGATTGTACATACGTACGTATGTATAATAATGAACGGTTATTTCGTGCAACGTATTGTCTAAAAATTCATTCTCACTATTATGACAATAGTGAAGACTTATTATTTTATTTTTATTTACGACCCTTCGCATCTAAGGAGACTTGTTAATCTTTTTTTGCTCTGAATTTTTCTTGAATTATATATTACGATTGCTCATTTCAATTTTCACCAAAACTATCAAAAAATATTTAATAAATTTAAATCATTTATCGATCTGAATCGTGTTCTCCTTCAATACCCTGAAGCCATCCGGTGACTATAGCACTCTGCGCCGGTGGACCACTAATTCGAATAGAGGAAGAAGTGACTAAAGGTGTGCCATTAATCCGATTTGAGGATGTCATATATTGTCGTCCATTAATCCGGTTTGTAGAATGCTCTAAAGTCGGCTGCCTATTTACACTCACCCATTTTGAACTTGTTAATGATACATAGTTTCGCATATTGTTTGAGGGCTGAGGTGGGCGAGAGTGAGGTACAGGGTCTAAATATTTTGATGAGATATGCGTGTTGCCAACCGTAATATTATTAGGTTGTGGTGATGGAACTGACAACGGCTTCGTTCGAGTACACAACTGCATTGTAACAAAATCGTCTTCAATTTCGTCTTTACTTAATTTTGTTTCGCTTTGCTTATGTATTTCAAATAATTCGATAGTTAAGAATAAATTTTTTATTTTCTTTTAGTTTATTCTTTGCTTAAAACTCTACGAATAAAAGGATATTTAAAAAAAAAATACGACGCTGACTATTTTCAACACTTGTCAACGCCGGTTGTGTTTGGCCATCTCTTACAACTAAATCAATCATTAGATCCCGAGGGCCTGTAATTATTTTAGGTTGTATTAAGTTTAATAGAATAGTTGAATAAAAATGATAATATAATAACATTACCCTTTTTATCAAAGTCCTTATGTTCCTTTATTAGTCTATATTTCCTGACTTCAATATCATGTAAAACAGCTTCTCTTGCGATACGTCTCTCATGCTGAATATAATGTTATTCATGCATAAATAAACATAGTTTTCATAGAAATTAATTGAGATAAAATTTACTTTATTTACCAAAGCTACGTGACGTATTTGCGAAACTTGTGATTCATACAAATTTTGGCTTTGTTGAATCTCTAGTAGACGGTTATTTTCGAGAAGTTGCTGCATTTTCTGATGTTCTTCATCAAGTCTCCCTATGTTTTCCACATATGCAGGATGTGTCTTCTCGATTAACGATAGATACTCTTCCTCCAGTTCCTTCTTTTTATAAGCCAAAACACTGTAAAACAAACAGCAGGAGAATGATCAATTCAGAATCGTAAAAAGCAATAATTGAAATAAAAAGAAAATGGTAAATACCTAGCCTTGATATTAATAAATTCACAAACCTTTTCTCGGGCACGTCTTTCTATAGCCCGGTATGCGCGCTTTTTCGCCAAATCATCATCATCATCTGATGGGTGACTAGAGTAGTCTAGTTCGATTGTTTTTCCTATAGAAAGGCACAAATAATGCGTATGGCAAACATTTAAGGCCACAAGTTTTGCAATTCTACAATGTCACTAGTGAACAATGGAAACAAATACATACCAGTAGTTTTCTTTGTCTTAATTGTTTTTTTGTGTACCACTCCGTCTTTTTTGTTACTTTGGCAATTCCGCCTTCTAACCTTCGTTAGGCTTTCTGAGAATTGTCG